TCCGCTTGCCACAGTCTGCCCCATATGGGCAAATTTCGCCACACAGTCGGGACGTACCCTCTGCCCGCATACGCTACCTTACCTGGGTTCTAAACTCTTTGGATATACATAGAGGGTATAGGGGCCTAAGCGCATTTGAGATTAAAAGAACCCCAGGAAATCCTGTGTAAACCCTTTTAAACCCCTTTTTCCCGGTTGGGCCAGATGTACAGTTCCATAAAAGTTTCCATTTCAATATTACCCCATACCCAAAAGGCACGTTGCGGGGCTTTCCCACAATAGTCTGATACTCAAAAAACTTTCCCTCACTGCCGGGGTTACAGTAATCTGACACTTGATAACGATAACCAAAACCTCTAACTTAGCAGTTACACTTTCACAAAATTTTATATAACCGTTCTGCCCTCCCAAAAAATCCTCGTCTCTGAGGGAATAACACTGCTAAAAGTGGTGTTAAAGCCCCCCCTAATAAAAATTCAAAACCCCAGATTTTACTCTCCCCGAAACCTGGGGCCCCTGCGTTTCTGTTAGCTCTCTGGGGAAACAGAGAGGGGGGCAAAGCACGTCCCCACTCTACCCCATCCAGGCAGCGAATCAAACACCTCCTCGTACCACTGCTGTCAGGTTTCTGAGGAGCGTCAGGCAAGGGGGCTGCCGGCCCAAAAGGATGCAGACAAGACGTAAAAGGTTTATATAATTTTATTTTTTATAGTTTATATAGTTTTAGTTTTATTGTTTTTTATTTAAAATATATGTTATAGGGGAAAATTTGGTGAAATTTTAGGGGGAAACCCCTTTTATGTCTTTCAAAGTGTTTTTAAAACTTGTTATGTATTTTGTGTAGGGTTTAGGATCCTACTGTACCATTTTATATCTTTATTTAATATTTTAAACGTAAAATTTTTTAAAAAAAAATATAAAAAAAAAAAAAACTCGACAATTCTTGTGTAGAAAACGACTCGTGAATTTCACAAGATTCTTGTTAAAAACCCTTTAGCGACGCCATACAATTCCTCGTTTGGGAAAACCTATGTTCCCTGATATGTTGGGGAAGGACGTTTTAAGATCTCCACTTAACGACCCAAACCAGCTTAGAATAGTATTCACTCTCCGTACTGTATGTTCCGCCATTTTGATACCAAAGACGCGGACTCCTCACTACTCAAAAGGTTGTTGCTGAACTAAGGGGTCGCCTGAAAAAAAGCAGAGGGGGGCTGAGCACGACCACCTCCACCGTGGTCAGGCACGAAAACCTTTAGGTTGAGACCCAAAATGTTTCCTTTTTTTTTTATTTTATGTATACTGTATTGGTTAAAAAAAAAATAAAAAAAAAAAAAATGTGTAACCTCTTTGTTCTGTTTTAAAATTGTTTTATTTTTCTATTGTACGTCCCCGAGGGTTGTTTCATAATTTTTTATATTAAAAGTATTCAACCCCTTTTTTAAGGGGTTTTTTTGTTAAGCATTATTGTATTTAAATAAAAATAAAAAAAAAAAATATATGTGGGTTCTTTTTTGCTTAACTCCACGGATTGTTTTGGTCCCCTGTACTCAACATTGTTGAAAATGAGACAGACAATTTTAGTTCGTTCATATAATATACTGACAGGTTGCTCGAGTGGTGTGTAGTGTGCTTGTAAATTTTATAGTTTTTCTGTGTCGGGTTTCTTCTCCTGTGTACAACAACGTGTGTGTGTGTATGATATTTTCTTTATGTACTTATTGTTCTCAGTATGTCTATTTTATATATATGTATTATGTTTGTCTGTACAAGATATGCTTTCAATAAAATATGAAAAAAAAAAAATATCCAGCAGAGGGCTGGAACCACACGTCCACGCACCGCCCATGTCAAGTGTTGCTCAGTGGACTGCAGTAGATTCATTGCTGATGCCTTGTTTATAAATCTGTACCACTGTAATATACTTAACTACCTATGTATAGACGAATATAAAGTTTTAAATAAAATAAAAAATGTCACTACAACTTAGCAGTATAAAGGGTAAACTATGTTTTGCGCGAGTGTCGTTTGCTTTTTTGAGTCCTCAGTTCACTCTTAGAGAGTGACCGTATGTGGCGCCATCTAGCGAGAGGAAATGTTTTAATTTTTGTCTCATCGCTTGCCATCTTCCTTCTACACACTTAGATGTTTCTCTTCTGTATGTTTCACATGTTTCTTTCTTCAGGGGTGGTGACTTTCGTCTCTCCACTTCCCCTTCGAGCATTCCGAGGTAAGGTTAGTCCAGTGTGTTTTCAAATAACCAATTATTTCGTCTATTCACAGTTTTCGGTACTGACCAATTAGCCTGACATTAGAGGAATGAAATTCATACAGGTTTAAGTGATGTTGGGTAAGGGGTAATAAACAGAAAACTAGTTTGGTAGAATAACTAGGCAAGTTTGATACCTGCATGGTTAAATATGTGTAATGATAATCGTACAAGGTACGTTATTGACTTTCTAAATTTAGTTTTTAACTTGGAAGCATTTAAATTATTTGATACTTATTTCTTTTTTTCTTCTAGTATTTTAACTGTTTCGCGAGATCATGGTAAACTTTCAACATTTTGATTGTATTCATTAATATTTTAACATAATAAGCTCTATAGCTTTATTGCGCAAATGTGTAGGCTGTATCAATAAGTTTGTACAGACTTTCAGATTAATTATTTAAAAATAGTTAGCCAAAAGCAATCGTTACCACCCTACATAAAACTTCAAAAAATTGAATAGTTACTATTTTCTTTAATCAACTGACAAAACAATTTTTAATGTTTATCGGGAATCATTAACATCTTTCAGTACCTTGCATTTACCAAAAGTCTGAGCTTCACTTTCATTAAAGGGGGGGGGGGGTTAATTCCAGTAACTCCTAAATCTGGCTTGTGTTCGATTCGCCGTGCTTTCTATAGTAGTACCTCTAGCCTCCTAGGAATTCTCTTCACGCTAATCCCTCTGTAGAAAATTTACAATACATTAATACATAAACTCTTCCCGTACCCATTCATTCTGCACCCTTGCATACCCTGGCGCGCCTTCATACCTCTCCCATCAAAATACCAGCAACTTTAATTTGAATCTTGTACCACGACTCCAACAAAACCTTTTAAACACTTCTAACCTCCGCAGCTTTCACTATAATCCCGGATTCAAATGCAGTACAAATTTCCTCGGTTGACTCTTGCACTTACACGGAATGATTAACAAATTCCTCCCCTTACGCATTCCCTCGAACTGTTGTCCCATCTACTATTTAATCATTTTAACTCTGGTAACGCCTGTGAAAACTCTTCGAAATGCTTGGAATCTTCTCATTCCACCACATAAGCTTAAGTTTTCTGGTGCTCTTGATTACTTTCATCCAACTTTGATAGTCCACTCGACCTGTATGGTTCCCTGAACATAATGCGGTCACATTTCTCTACGTGCTGTTTGATCGCCTGCTATCCTGCAACTCTTCGTCCCTGAAAACTTTCCATAATAGATTTAACCCCTTCAAAACCCTCTGTCATCTTTGGTGAGAATGGATCGTAAACCCTTTAACTGCCTTCAGCCTTACTTTTATTGAAAATAGGTATTGCTAATTTTCTGTCCTCTTCCACTGAACCTGATTACATGATCATGCATCACCTTTCTGTGCTTCTGCATATTCTTTTAAAAGTATAAATAATTTGTTCCCTTAGGTTTTTTAGTCTCTTTACTTTCCCTACCCTTTTGCATTAAAGATAATTTTTTTTTCACAAACCCTGTTTACAGAAACTCTTGCAGTTTAATGTAATCATTTATTGACAACGTTTCGCCCACAGTGGACTTTAAAAGTTCTCCCAGATCTACCTGGGGAGGAAGGGACGTAAGTATTTATAGTCGGGTTCAGAATGTTGGTCAGGCGAATACTAGATCTGATCTACCCGGTGGGGTTAGTCCAAAATCTTGGGTAGCTTTGCAGGAGTATTGGACAAGTGAGCAAACCTTCTGCAGTGTTTTATGTTATGTGGGATAGCGATGAAGTTTCTTGGCAAGTGCTTCAGCTATGTTGAAGCCATTGTTCTTGTTGAAATTGTTGGTTATATAGAAGCGAAGATTCCAGTATTCTTCGGTTTCTTCGCTTATCTCTAGACACTTTCAACCCGAATGGCTTCTAACATAGCTGAACCACTTGTCAAGAAACTCCATCGCTACCCTACAACATAAAACACTGCATAAGGTCTGCTCACTTGTCCAATACCCCTGCCAAGCTACCAAGCATTTGAGATTATAGCCTCACCGGGTAGATCAAATGCAGCATTCTCCGCCTGACTTCAACATTCTAAACCTGACTAAATACTCGCGTACCTTCCTCCCCAGGTAGATCTGTTACTGTCCACTGTGGGCGTAACTGTCATGAAGGATCACAACAAACTGCACGTTTGTTTCGATTGTGTCGGTATTTTATACCATGTATTAACCCTGTTTACCCTGGCGTTTTAAAGTTCATTTAGCATGACTTTTCTTTGCCCTTAACTGGGAGGTTCACGGTTCATGTCCGTTCTTGCCCCAGGGTCGTGAGCAGTAGCCCAAATACCTATGATCTTTACCTTAATCACTTCAGTTTCTCTTACCGTTGCAGTGTAGAATTCTTAAATACTCTGACGGTGTTAAGTTCGTAGCATTGTTACCGGACAGTTTTACAATATTTGCTAGACCCTGTCTGCATTTTTCGCAGCTGAACTGAAATAAGCTCTCGCAGCAATTAGTGTTCCATCCAGGCCTACCTCAAGATTTGTGGTACTCCGACTAATCTTTTAGTGTTTTGCCAGAATAAGTTGTCCCCGTAGTTCTCTGGTTGTGCCGCATTTCTAGCAAAAACTTCATTTTGGTTGTGAAAACTAACTACCAGAGCTGTTGAGATGGGAAGGAAGAATAAAGGATTAGTGCTGGTAAAGGATGGGAGGTAGGATAAGTGGTCCAACCACTTTTGGTGCAGAGGTACTGCAGGCGTAGATGAAGAGGGATGAACTACCTTGGTACTTGGTAAACAAGGAAAGGATGGCAGCGGCAGAAGGGTCAGGAGGCAGCAAGGAAGTTTTTTTTTTGGTGCAGCAGGGCAGGCTGGATCGTCAGCTAGGCAGTCTAGTCGCAAGCTAGTTAGGCAACTGATCAATTGGAGACATTGGCGAACTTCGTTCTTGAGATGGTACACTTGAAAGGAGTTTGTTGGATCTGCACCCAGATGGCAGAGATGGATTACGTAGTCTAGCCCAATGGGTCGTTCTGTGGTACAGGTGAACTTTAGTCTCTTTTTGGAGCTGGTGGAAGAGTTCGTAAACAAGCACTACACTTTTATTTTTTTTTTCGCTGGTACTCTACCGGCTCGGGTCTTTCAAAGAGGGGTGACCCAGCCTTGGTTCCCTAGGAGTCTCTAAACCAGTTTCCATGGGAGGTAAAAGTACCCAGTCATCTTTGGAACCAAGCATCCCCTAGCCTAGCCAGTCCCCCGCCCTCGCGGAGCACGCAAGAACAAGCTAGGCCTCTGGTTTGCCATCAGCCCCGCCCCAAAGGGGCTCGTGGGGATAGCAGTCTTGCGAGCTGTAGGTGGTAGCAAGCCTGACCATTGGAGTTAGTGTGGTTTCTAGTCTCGAACGAGACTAGTCATATTAAGGGAAGTTGGCTTGGAGGCAGGTGAGGTGGGTGTTGGAAGGTGAAGGTGGTCTCTCATTGGTGGTTCATGTAGGCTCGCCGGGCAGAGGGCTGAGTGGTCCGTAAGTGGTGGTGGGTTGAGGTGGTCTCGCACTGGAAAATTGCGAAGAACAGCAGGTAGATTCTGCAGAAATCTTTCAAGTAGTCTGTGCATCGAAGCTGACTACTTTTGGAATATCTTCAGAACTTCAGCTGAAGCAGGACTAGCTGGGAAGTTGAATGATGGTAGATTGAGTGCATGTGCATTTTGAATGTGCATAAACCAGGCAGTAGAATTTTGTTAACTTATGGTGGTAGCAGTTCAGGCTGCTGGGTGGTTTGTAAAATGTTTGGTAGTTTAGTTATAGCAACATAAGTAGGAAAAATTACCAAGTCTTCATGTCTTCCTTTACTTCCTTGGAAAGGATCTTGGAATGGAACATTTGGCTGCCAAAGTATGGAAATCACTTGCAGTTCATGCAGGTGGGAGCAGGAACGAAACTGGTGACCTTCACTCACAGGTGGAACATATCTTTTTCTTCATGACATTCGGCAGTTGAATGATTGTATGAATAGCATGTCCAATGTTACACGACTGGAGCGTTCTAGTTCAATTTGTTGAGGGTTCATAAAGTAGATGGCCAGTGACTTTCAGAAACGTGACCTTGAGCATGGAGTAAGCGTTGGCATCTTCACAACAGTAAATCTTGGCCCATGCATGAAATCGAAATTGATGACTTTATTTCGTCGGGAGACTTGCCAGTGATGAGCTTCAGTTTCATAACAAGGACAGGTTACCTAGCATGTGAAGTAGTGATGGTAAATCCACGGTCGTCTAGTCTTCAGTGCAGCAGGCGTGAGTACCTTGTCTGCTTCATAAAGATGGGTGACAAGGGAAGCTTCTTTCAAAGTAATGTTCGAGAACTTGACTAAGACTTGACTGAAGAGGATGCAAGTTAAAACTTCGTGGCATCGTTGATGACCAGTCTTTGGTTTAATCCTCGCACGATGAGACTTCATGGAGATGGTACAGGTTCCCATCTCCAACGGGGATCGTAGGGAGGCTGTTTAAGTGCAGGAGTCTTTGACCATACACAACGGTCTACAGACTGAATCTATTTGTTTATACGGTAACTTAACAGGCTGAATCATTTTGTGGTACAAAACTTCGTATTATTCGGTTATGATGAGTCACCTCTAACCCCCTTCGCAACAGTTGGTAAAATTGGACTGTCGTTAAAAATTACAGTAAGCATAAAATCCTGGTCTTTAGATGTGATTGAGTCTGCACAAGGCACACCCACTACTCGTGCGTATCTGATAATTTTGTTGGTTTAAATATTAACTGGATGTAATGGTAGAGCATTACCCTAATTTAGGGAAACTGGGTTTTTATATTCCCTTTCTCTATCACGTTCATTCACGTGTACGAATAGTTAAATTGATGGGAAAAAACTTTAAATGTCTACTTGCAGATAAACAAATTCACTAAATTACTTTCTTACAGTCAAGCGGCAAACATGGTGGGCTCTATGGTAGTGAATGGAGTTGCTACTGGTGTGGTATTGACATTGGCTGTCAAGTTTGTCTACCGTTACCAGTCGGGAAGATGTACCTCCAAAACAAGACTAGTTGGAAAAACTGCCATTGTCACAGGAGCATCTGCAGGCATGTCTTAAAATCTAATTTGCCAGTGCTTAACTTTCTAGACCTTCGTGAACGTCCACTTTAGTGGCATTTTCCTCTCCCTTGGAAATTACATTCCTTAAGATTTAAAAGTTTAAAATTTTTAGATTACATCAATGTAACTTCCAATTAATGGAATTTAAATGAACCTCGGCTGTCAGGTAGTTTAACCTGTGAAATTTCAGGTATCGGCAAGGTAACGGCTCGGGACTTGGCTCAGCGCGGCGCCAGAGTCATCCTAGCTTGTCGTAATGTTGAGAAAGCTGCCACAGTCGCAGGTATGTCTTTCCTAGTTTTTCATTTTACTACGAAACTTCTATTTACTTTGGTTTTTCTAAAATATTTAGTCGTCCTACAATAGAGGAAAGAATGTCAGTTACATGCACAAAGATTAATGCAATGTACGGCAGCATAGGTTTATAATGCAGTTAAATTTGAAGCAAATCGCTGTTGGTATTTACTTTTGAAGACTACTCTTATTTAAGAATCTCATTAAAACATGCAAACAGTAAATTAGACTAATCAGCTTTGAAGCCATACTACAAAGGTATACTTCATAAATAACAATACACTAATATACAACAGAGTATTAAACTTGCGAATCAAAAATTGCAGTACCTTAACATTAAAGTTAAACTGGTTTTGACTCGAAATTCCAGGCCAAATATTACAGGACTAAAGCATTTTCTCAAGATGACTTGTAACATTGTAAGGCAAAAGTATTTCCCTTGTACGCATGTAAATAAAATTTTTAGTACGGAAAGTACAGTACTTTTATCTAAAACTGATTTCATATCACTTATTCCTGAAAGTCTTTCATCCCCCCCCCCATACAAGTTACTTCACAAGGCAATTTTCATTAATAAAATTGCCACATTAGTCACCTTGATACTTGTTAAACTGACGTTAACTAGTTTCACATTACGAAAATTCACTATTAGAGCCACAACTCTTATCTACTCATAAAATTATGCACAATTTGAAAGTTCCACCCCACTGCACACTCCAGGATTATCTCTACCTATAATCTGCAAACGCATCTTCAACACAACCCTCATAAAAGTAACAGTCGTAATAGCCTACTCACTTCTGGTAAAATATAATCTCTACCAGCTTCTGAACGTCCCTATTTCCACCATTTTCTAAATTGCCATTGTACTTCTGATTAATGCATAAATACCCTACATGCGTCACTTAAACAGAACTAAGCCATTCTGTCACGGCACGATGTCCCCTACAGATTCAGCAGTTTTTGAAGTGGTAATCTGTAATCTTCCTATAACAGTACTAGTGACATTCTCGACTAGGCCAAGAATTTGTAATCTACTAGGCCTTGCATCTTCTGTTTCTGAAAAGTAATATCTCCAACCCATACTTTTAGTTTAGTGAATAGCTACACTAAATCATAGGTACCTTGTATATGTACCCTTCAAAAAAAAAAAAAAAAAAAAATAACTATTTTAAAATACAAAGGCTACTCCCAAAATGTTTGCTAAAATCCAAATTATCTTCACTTTACAGTCTTTTACACGGCCTATATGCTGCTCCCATGTTAATAGTTAAGTTACTCCAACCCTTTACGTTAATTTAAAATTAATCAGTTATCTCGTATCTACCTAGGCTCTTCACTTGGTATTACGCTGTAAAATAATTGTAAATCTTAATATCAGTAAATACTTGTAATTAAAGCAATTACATTACTTCTCAAACCTGCATGCTCTGTGTGAAGAGCATATCACCCCTTCATGGATTTAAAGATTTTGTACCTAAAAGCCCCCCTCCTAATTTGATTACTGTTAATCTCTGAAGATTAACAAATCACTAGAAAGTACTATTATCACGACCATTTCACATTTGAGTGGTTGCTCCAAATATCTCCTTTATTAAACTTTATTGGTGCCCACAATCAAACCCATTATAGAAGCAACATAAGATTCATACTTTATTGCATAACTTAACTTTAATACTTTGAATCTCAATTTAACTCTGCTTTCATACCAAAATTGTTAGTTAATCTTTTTAAGGTACTTTTTACATTAAAATGACCTAGTCACAATAGCAGAACTTCTTTACAGAGGACATAAAGAAGACCACAGGCAACAAAGATGTGGTAGTGCGGCAGGTAGACACGTCAGACCTGACCTCAGTCAGGAAGTTTGCTAAAGACATACTGAACACGGAAACTGCTCTCCATATTCTGGTAAGTTCGCTGAAAATGCATTTAATATAGAATGAAGTTTCCTCAGTATATACTGATTCTCTCCATCCTAGAACTCTCCCTCCCTTATAGCCTATAAAAAAAAATTCTTTGCCATTGCCTTGGTGGGATACACCTGGTTTGAAGTTAGATAAAATGTAAACTAGAGGTTCTGTTAAAACCTTTAACAGTATTACTTTATGTAGGAAGTTCTGCAGATGGAGTACTAAGCTTCCTTGACCCTCGTTAACGACTTCTGTTGTTACCTTCCACCTAAATCACCCCGCAAACTTACTAGACCGGCATTTCTGCCCAAAAAAAGGTAAATTTTTTATTAACTGCATATACATAAAGCTTATACATACCCAACGAAGGAAAGTGGTATACACAGTACTTCTGTTACAAAACAGAACCAAACCACCATCCACCTACCACTCAAAACAAGAGGATAAGTCTGTTTTTATAGTCATAAACTAAAAATTATAACCCGATATGCGTAACTCTAATTGGAATATATTAATAGCTTCGTGAATTTTTTTAACACTCGCAAAACTGTTACACACAATTAGCAAAAGCAGTGAACCTCTCCAACAAAACTTAAAACTTTTGTATTTTAAAGTACATGTACAGTACAATAAAACCCAAAAGTTGCACACCAAAGACCAGAAAAAATATCAATGTGGAGAGAACAATTTTTAACAAGGTGTAAAGCCTTCATACGTGTAATCCACAAGGATAGTAAATTTCAAACTATTAAGCATTAAGTACAGAAAAATAACAAACTTGACATACACCACAGAATAACTCTGGACAACCAATAAAAATAGACCTTGTAGTTCCTTAGATGTACACGTGGAAAAAAAAAATTAAAGCATGTGCTAAGACCATACTAAACACTACAAAAGTATGACAAACTAGGAATCACAAATGAAATTAGACCCGAAGCATTCAAAAAAAATACCACCTTGAAACTAAGTCTGCCAATTACCCTAAACGTCCAAAAAGGAAACTACACACCCAACTTAACTGCAGGTCCCTTGTGAACCAATCTCTTGCATGCATCCTTCATTCTATACGCCACAATCACACGCCCCAGCTCCACTTACACTTGTATATGCCCTATCCAAACATACCGAACACTATCCTACCAAGTAAGACCAAAACAAAAGTCTAACCATCATCGGGTCTACCCCACTCCCAACCGAAGTAACCTTTCACTGTCAGGCTGCGAAATCCCTCTGGGATTGGGGGGGGGGAGGGGAGGGAAGCTGGTCGTCCACTTTCCCCATATAGTAAAAGGCTATTCCTAAAAGCTGTCCTATAAACATGCTGAAAGTGCCCTCCCTAAAAAAAAAAAAATGCAACCTCCCTCATACCCCAACAAACAAATCTGCCACATGCATGACAGCCCTCCTGACATCCTTATGAACCCTGCCCACAGCAGAAATCAAAGCCTCAACAGACTTGTTACCCTCCCCCCCAGACTGAAAAACCCTCCCTAACCTAGTCCTTAAAACTCTAGGATTGAAGAAAAGAAAAAAAAGAAAAAAACCACATGGAACGTTTCTCTTCCCCACAGCTCTAGCAATTCCCATCTCCCACATAACCCATACTACTAAAGACCTCATAGCCAAAATTATCATTAACCTATAGACCAGTTCCCATACCCTTCGTTTCAACGAAAGTTTTCTAAAATCCTTCAAAGTACCCCCTGCAATCATAAATGGGATAAGAGCTAACACCTTGTATTCTCTGGACGGCTACCCACCTTTACCTTCGCATCCCAATCAGTCAACGGAAAGCACAGCGTATCCTTGCAAAAACTTCTTCCCTCCCCATCATTTCCGTACATCAACCATTACCTGCCCCACCTGCTATGAAGTGCTGCTTCACCTACTGCTTTCCTAAGTCATAAAGGGACGAGGCTCGATCCACCCTGCTTAACTTTTGACTACCTCCCTCCTTAACCACGATCTTTAATAACCCCATGCATATCTTAAGACCCTCTGTAGTTCCTCTATAAACTGACCTCTGGAGATGCACCACCCTCTGCAAACAAATGTTCCTGGCCCTAAAGTTAGTTACCTTCTAATTCACCCTTCGCACCTGTACATCTACAAAGTTTGTTTCCAAGTATCAACAGACCACCCATACACTCGCTCGAAATCCCCCTCCACCCACCCAGGAGCTTAACTCCAACTTCAACTTTGCACCATTAACGCTTTCCTGTTGCCGCCCCCAAAGCTCGAGCACACATCCCACACTTTGCAAACCCCTTGCCACCCACAGTTGTCCAAATAACCCATAATGCCCTTGCCTTTAGCTAACCCCCCCCCCCTCACCCTTTTCCCTCGTGCCACCTTCAGCAAACCCATAAAAGGGATTCTGCAAACTTGCAAAAAGTGACTGCAGATATCAATCTCAAACCCCCCCCCCTCTCCATCTGTACTGGCAAACTCTACATGCCGTTCGCCTGAACCCTAACCACAACAGACTAATACATAGCATTGACCCACCTCTCGATCTTCCCCCAAAACCTCGTCTCGACATAACCCTCAAAATCTCCCTATGAATTCACACTTCTTTCCAGTGAAGTTTCGAGATACGCCTCCCCCCCCCCCAACATGCCTCAAAAAAGTCAATGTCCCTCATGTGCACTGTAAAGTTATACAAACTGACCCTGCTGTATAACCAAACCTGTCTCAATCTTCGTTACTTTACCTTCACAAATATTTTTAATCCAAACACATACAGGAAATTACCTGGTATGCAATCGGTGCCTTCCCCCCCCCCCTTTTGGCACAAAAACACTCCTGCACTATGACATGCCTAATTCATCCCTATCCTTCGTAGTTGAACAATACTACCAGGCAGTGCTTTAGGCAATCCTAATGCACCAAATAAAAATTGTTAGGTATCCTTTCAATCCCAGGTGCCTTTCCTCTACTCTTCCTAAGCACAGCACCCTCCCCAAGCTGCTCCTCAAACCAATGGTCTGCACAGTTGCTCATGCTTTCCATTAGAGCACCTGGCCCCTCCTATATACCCCCCCACAGCCCTGCACACCTCCAAATTCAAAACTGGTCACCTGCTGCCTTTCCCAAAATCTGCAAAAGATCACAACCCGAGAGCCTGTCCCCCTTGACACAAAGGCATCAAAACAGTGTTAACAGACCCCAGAGTTCTGCAAGGTCTCCATACCTACCCCCATACCATTCAGCTGTCCCTCCACGTATTGTTGCAACCTGTACCTCCACCACTCTACCCTTCGACTTGTATGATGCTATAATCCCCGGTTTAGCTCTAGACCCCAACATGCCCACCCCTTGATACCTTCCCTCGCAAGTTTCCACCAGCCCTTGAACAGTCACTTCCCCTCTCCAGAAAGTAGCAGTGCAGTTTCCAATAACCTGGGTAAATTCTAACAAAACTATTCCATGCCATGACTGCCCAATGGTCCGAAAATCGGTAAATTGTATGTACCCGCTCGACCATAATACAAAGTCCCCTATATTCTATCCAGTCTGGCGGCATAGCCCCTCCTAACAAACGTGCTGTACTCTTCGCTTCTCACCATATCATACCCCCCCCCCGCATCCCTTGGTACATCCCGTAACACACAAAGCGCACAACCTGTCCCTCATAGCTCCACATCCTTATTTCTGATAAGTTACATCCTCCCAGAACTGCAACTATAGGCAAACCCTTTAAATAGAACAAAACTTCCTTCACAAAATCCAGTTTACTCGGCTTTGACCATCCTCTGGCATATAAATGCCCAGAAAACATTCCCATCCCTCCCCCTGTCCCTCACCTGCAACGACACAAAAGGGGGACTGGACTCCCTCACCACCACCCCACCCTTCATACAATAACCTTTCAACCCCAACTCGTCCATATTTTCCCGAGTAAAACTCATCCACATCAACTCTCCTCCCCAAGCATGCTTCAGCCCTAAGGCCATTGACATTAATAGTTACACTTGAATACTTCAAAAAGGGACTTTCCTATATTCCTCTGGGTCTTGTCCGATCCACCTTTAATATACTCTAGCCATCTCGTGCACTCTTCCCTCCCTTGTTCACTCGACCCCATCCTACCCACATCCCCCAACGAGTCCTTACAAGGCCAGAGTGAAAAACCACCTCCGGTAACCACCCCCAGCCCGTTCCAGAGATCGGCTCACAAGCTCCTTCTCGACATTAACACCAGGCTCGTGGACCTCAGCCTCCCCTCGTTGGTCTTGCAAAACCTGTTCCCATCCCCCAAACCCAACAGCCCTGGTTCCTACGCCAGATCCACAGCAAGCAGGGAATCTGTCCCCACAAAAGGTACAACCTTCTCTGGCTCATCCAGTAAATTGAGCATTTCCTGCAGGGAGTTCCAAGGTCTCCTGTAGTTAGTCTCCTCCACTGCTGCCTCTCAGGTCAAAGGCCTCCCCCCCCCTCCCCAAGGGGTCTCCTGACAGAATCGCACAATGTTCCTCAGCCTCATCAGCCAGTCATCCTTCCGGCTAATGCCACAGGCACCGATGATCACTTCAAAGGTGCTGCCATCGTCGCAAAGTCCATCGAACACTGGAGCCGCCCTTCCACACCCCACCATATGATCAAAAGCTCCACAGCGACATATTCGCCGTTGTCCTGCATACATGACATACTTGTCCTGGACCCCTCTAGGACAATAAGGAGGAATGGCCCTCTTCAACGTCCTTCTGAAAGTAAAGGATCCTTCTGGCAATCCAGCATGGAGCTCATTCTTCCCAACGTCGCCTCGCTAACTTCCACGGCGTCCGCCTCAAAGAAGGTATGGATTCGTATCCAGGTGTAGGTTCGGGAAGCATCCCTCAGTCTGACCTCCATCCCCGAAGTCGAAGGAAGGCACTTCTGGTATAAGGACACCGTCCTTATACCATGCAGCTCGTAGTTGCCAATTCTGAGAATCTGATCACGGGCAGCATTGCAGAAGCCAGTGTTGGGGTAAATTGCACCCTTTACGATGTTAACACGCCGTACTGCTGCTTCGTTTACCATCGGTAGCCATCTTGGAGGAAATGGGGAAAGTGCATACTGCTGTAGATAAGCTGACATTCCAGCTTTCTATTATATTAATTTTAAATGGCCCTAATGTTAATCCTAAGTGCTTGGAAATACTAATTTTTTTTTCCTTGGTCCCATGAGTGCTTATGCATATAGTGACTTAACTAATCTTGTACGTTATATATAATATAATTTATATATAATATATATAAATGTACATATAAAATTTATGCTTCAGGTGAACAACGCAGGACTAAATGGCTTTGACACGAAGAAGTTAACAGCAGATGGTCTAGAGCTGACTATGGCAACCAACCACTTTGGCCCCTTTCTGCTTACTAACATGTTGTTGGGTTAGTACAATCTGCTCTTCCTATACTAGTAAAAACTAGCATGTTAGTATGTTCAGACTATTCCAGTGAATGAGGAAAAAAAAACCATAGCCCATCAATGCTTAAATGTGCTGGGTTAATGCACTAGTCTTAGAATGACCCTAAATCTACCTTTAATCTCGAATTATCACAAATTTTCATTCCTAGACTTTTGTAAGCTGTAAATTCTTAAGGGTTCTTCAGCACCTGAAGATGTGATGTTATAACATCACATTAAACTTAAAAGCGCCAAATTCGTATGCGTCAGTGCAGAAGATTTTGACAAATGCACACAAATAAAGTGAAGGTAGTATCAGTAAATTTACTAGCCACTGAGCTAAGCTTCAAAAAAAAAATGGGGATCTTCATTCAGAAACTGTTTAACTGTACTTTAAGGTTGCTAAAATTAATCTAGCAGAAACATTGGATACAGACTGAATCATTCCAACAATATTTAAGAGATTCTTAAAAATAAATACCTCGGCCTAGAGAAATTTTCAGTCTTTAATTAACAGTGAAGCTGTAAGAGTAAAGAATAAAAAAAAAAATTGGCAAAACCGTAATGCAAAAATTATAGTAGACGTAGGGATTTATATAAATGGTGTGAAATAGATATCTCAGCACCTCTAAATAGCAACTGTGCTTATAAAGGCACACCACAAAATGAAGTGGAGCAACATACTTTGGTAAGTTTCTGACAAATAAACCTTACCCCAAGAATGTGAAGTCACCATGGTAGTGTTAGGTAGAAGTACTTAAGATAATGAATCTAATGCAGAAAGTTGTAAATTGCTTTTACCAGTGGTATGGCTCGCTTGGGAGACTGACTAGTTGGAAACATCGGTAGACTAGTTGGAAAAAAAAAACTGGGTAAAAGGCTGTGAT